GCTCGAGATCCCGAAGGTCTAGGCCACCCTTAAATTTAGACACACACAATGCCTTCCACCCTTAAATTTAAAAGCTCAATTAATTGACTCATATACTTCAAGTTTTGGCTTCATTTTTTCCCTTATAGTTTTAAGAGTTTGAATTTAGTCCATATGGTTGGGTTAAATCTCATAAATTGTCGTTATCATACCAGACGTTGCTATATTAAATACATGGACGATGTGTTCCTTTTATTATGTGTTGTTGATGCTAATTTTTAGGCGAGTTCCACTTAGGTGCAATGCAGGTGTCGCCTATGCCTTCGTCTTCGAAAACCTGATTCCTTCACATATAGAAATCTTGCACTGGTGTGATGCTCCAGTGAATGCACTCTAATGCTTAAGTTATAACTCAAGTAGGAGCAAATGAATATGGAGCAAAAAAAATAAGGGAGCAAGACTCTTAAGGGTGAGAGTCTGGTTTAGGGTGTGTGTGTTGAATTCTCACAAATAGATTGTGTGGGGGAATGTGTCAAACCTTGGTAACGGTTATCATTTTCTTTATATTTTGGGAGAGAGGGAGAGTGTTTTATCCCTTAGGTTATTCTAGACAGTTTACTTTTCTGCCATCTCTCTCTTATCATCTAGCCCCTATTCGAGTTGGGTAGCCTCTAATTTCATGCTCGACTGTTCAACATGAATTTAAGAGAGATGAAAGTTACGACTAAGTTGTACATTTTGGTGTGCACCTTTAACTCTTTCATAGTAGTATGCTCGCAAGTGGTCCATGATCTAGTGGTGGGGGAGCTCTTTATCTTTTAGGTCGGTGAGTCTACACGTGCGTGCACGAACGAATCTGGTTACCTAGTAAAGAACATCCCAGATTGGGCCTAGCGCCTCACTAGCTGGTTCTATGGTGTTCTGCATGTGAGTTTTTGCAACACTAAGTCATTTGCCTTAAATGCTTAGTACTTGACCTTGGCGTTGTAGTACTGGACGATTTAATTTTTGTACGATGCAACTCTAAGTCGTGTCGATTCTCTAAACTCATCAAGGATGTCTAAGTTCAGCCGAAGGCTTTCATCATTACTCTCTGCATCGAAGTTCTCGACCCTAGGTGAGGGGATGCTCAATTCAAATGGGACGACTACCTCAAAGCCGAAGGCTAGCGAGAACAGGGCTTCACCCTTTAAGGTAGTGCAATAATCCAATAAGCCCACAACATGCTTGGCAACTCTTCCAACCACACCCTTTCAGGCCCTTGAGCTTGGCTTTCAAGTTCTTTTTTATGACTTTTTTGACAGCCTCGACTCGTCTGTTGGCTAACGGGTGAATGGGCGATGAGCTGTGGTACCTAATACCTAGGTCTGAGCAAAATATTTTGAAACTAACGTTATCAAATTGTTGCCTATTGTCGGATACTAGGACATATGGTTTGTCGAATCGATACACAATGCTCCTCCACATGAAGCTGGTTACATTCTCCTAGGTGATCATTACTAAATTAATACTCTTCGGCTTTTTTCTTTTACTTAGAAATAGTTCTTAATGGGTTATTTTTACGTACAATTCATGCATAATCATTCTATCATGGTCTAAATACGTAAATATAAGTTTTTGGTAGCAATTAGAGTCGGAATTATAACGTGTTACATTTTTGTGCATAAATTTACTCCTAGGCGCCAGACGTCTCTACCAACTACCGATTTTGCCCTTTTAGTGAAACGCAAGTTTTGATCATTTTGACACCTTCTTCTATGTCCCACATGTCATCCATGCAAGACAGGTTAGTTTGTTAGATGAAAAAGTTAGTAAAAGAGGTTGCAAAGTGATGGTTGGCCTCTTCTCTCAAGTATCCAACAACCTTCAAGCTTTCTATAAATTCTCTCTCTCTCCCTCGACTCTTTGCCTCATCCATTGATCACTTTTAAGAGTTTTTTAAAGTTTCTTTATCAATCTATAGTTCTAATTTAATTTTTAAACTTGCTATTCTTTTAAATGTGATTTCCTTTTACATTTTGTTTAGTTTTTAGCGAACTTCCATCTTTACATGTGATTTGCAACTTTATTTATAAAATTTCAGAAACATTTATTCTCTTCATCTCGTTTTCCTTTTGTTGCAACTTAAGGAAATTTTGTAATCGCACGTCTTTGTGGAATAGAACGAGTTTTCACTCCCCTAAGTTCGAAAGGGACGAATAAAGTTTATTTGGATTACAACCTCACAACTTATTTTTTATTCCCTTCTTCTTTAATCATCTCTTCTATTTCCAAACTAATTTTAATGTTATTTTTACTTTATCATTATGAGCTAAATTTCCTTTTCATAGCTTCATTATAGACAATTAGCTAACTTCTTAAAAAATGGGACAACAAAGGTCAAAAGCGTTTCCAACATCTTTTTATCACTTAAGTTGTTTTTAAAAGTTAACGAATTAATTTAACCAATCAATGAGTTTTCAATTCAATACTGAAAAGGTTGAACTATTTTCAAAATTCAATTGATTAAACCCCAGAGAGGAAGGCCTTAAACATAAAGGTTTTGTTCAAGTAGCCTAGACATTGGACCATCACCTGAAGTTGCGGTTGGTTTTTATTAAATTAAATCTTCTTTTCTAATAGACATATTAGAATGAGATTTAGTACTTCAAAATCACTTAGAGATAAGTAGGTTAAAAAGTAGAATCGTGTAATTCAAAGTGGTTGGCGCCTGACGTTTGAAACATCTTATTCTTAGCTAATTTGAAGTAAACGGTCTAAGCTTTATTCATTTAGTCTTTTAAACCTAAATCCAACATTATTTCTCATCATTTTATCTACCAACTTAATTACTCTATAAATATTTTACCTATATTTTGCTTTTTAAAGAGAAACATGAGTAATCCCTGTTAATAAAAGAAGGGACCTAACAATGGTTTATAATAGACATGAGCTACTCCTCTCCTTGCCAATTGGTTTTGTGTAGCCCTCCATGACGGTCCTTGGAAGCGTGGTGGCTACCCTCATCTTACTTTAAGACTATACAATTGTTTCAAGTCTTAGGATAGCCTTATAGTTTCGTACTTTTTACAAGCATGTTATCCATGTATACCTCAATTTTACTCCCTGTCTGTTTGGTGAACATTCGGTTCACCATTCTTTAGTAAGTGGCTCTGATGTTCTTCAGACTAAAGAGGACATTACTCTATAATAATATAACCCCTGGTATGTTATGAAGGAGGTGTACTCTTAGTCTAGCATGAGCATCCTAGTTTGGTTGAAACCAGAATATGCGTCCATAAACATGAGTTTCTCATGGTCGGTCATTCCGTCGACCATTTCTGGTCTATCTTGATCTTGGAAAAGGGGAAGCTATCTTTAAGGTAGGTATTGTTCAAGCTCATGCAATCCCTGCATAGGTGCCACTTGCCATTAGCCTTTTTAACAAGGACAATGTTGGAGAGTCAATGTAGGTACTGTACCTCGCGTATGAAGTCGGCATTTAAAAGCTGTTTGACTTCTACTGCTATGGCAGTGCCTCGTTCAGTATCTATAGAGCGATGTTTCTATTTCACGGGTTTATACTCGAGATCGATGTTCAACCCGTGCACCATGACTTTTGAGTCGATTATCAACATGTCCTCATGTGACCACGTGAAGACTGTGTTACTTCCTAAGAATTTTATGAGGCTTTCCCTCTTGTTGAGCCTCAAATTCATCCTGATGTTGACTTTCCTGTTTCCCATGAGGATGGGGGACAAGCTCCAGTTCTTTGTTAGGAGAACCTCGCTAGTTCTCTCCTTTTTTAGCTGAGGGCTCTTCCTATGGTGGCCCCTCCCTACAACTGTTTGTCTCTTCAAAGGTGTCCTTTCAATAGAGTCGGTATCGCGCTCATAGGTCATCCCTAGTTGCGAAGGTTGAGGGGGAGTAGAGTCACTTGGCTACCAACTCTTTTTCCCACAAATGACGTCAATTATTGATGCTGATTTCTAGGCGAGTTCCACGTAGGTGCCACAGAGGTGCCACCTACGCATGCATCCTAAAAATACATGGTTACATAGAATCTTGCACTGATGTGGTGCTCTAATGCACTTCGATACTTAATTAGAACTCAAGTAGGGGTAAGTAGGTTTGGGGAGAATAAGGGAGCAGAACTTTGGAGGGTGAAAATCTTCTTCAAGGTGCATGTGTCGAATTCTCATAAGGAGTTTGTGTGGCAGAATGCAGCCTACCTTGGTTATTGTTATTATTTTCTTTATAGATAAGGAGGGATGGAGAGTGTGAGGTCTCCTTGCCTAGAGTGTTTATAGGGGAGATTGGTATGTCGTGCTACGGATCCATGGAGACCATTTACATCCTCTATTTCTCACTATTTTGAAGACGGGGGCACGACTGCGTCTCGAGTGATCCCCTAAGGTACATAGCAATTTTGGTACAGGGTGTTAGTGCGCTATCCGCTGGTCATTATTTGTACAGGAGTGCAAAATTGAAACCAATCTCAAACCCATTTGACCTTATTTTAATTATAAAACACAAATATTAGTTTAACTTCTCCCAAAAATAAGGCAAAATCCTACATTTTAATAAAGATATATGTTTAAATATCTTAGATTTTTTTTATAACAACAAATAAGAAGGTGGGAGGTACCTCCTATTTTTAAGAAAGAAGCAAGATGTCTTAACCGTTGGCTAAATATCTTAGAAAATTAGGCCACAACATCAAACTTTTGGAATAAGAATAAGAATACACACAATTTTTTTTCTCTTTTGAGAGAAGAATAAGAATGTTTCTTCTAAAGGTGGAAAGAATCATTTTATCCATGTGACATTTGATACCAAAAGCCATAGAATTTGCTGATTGTAGTATATATTTAAGGATCCTATTGCGATACCGCTGTGACTCAAATCCCTTTATAGAAATAACTAAAATACAAAATTTGAGTGTAATAGCATATTAAAATGTGTTGCCAAATGAGTAGTGGGTTTATTTTATTAGCATTGACTTAATTAATATTATTAAAAACCAATAGAAAATAAAGAAATAATATTAAGTGAGTAGTTTATTCAATATCAAACTGTATTTACGATTTACAGCCAAACACTTGAATATACAACGAAACTCCACAGCAAAAATAAAAAACTCATGCAGTTACAATTATACAAAGAACAAACCAGAGGAAAAACACTTCTCAGAAAACAAACAAAAAAGAAACATGTTTTTTTTTAAAACCAACAAGACAAACTCAATCTTCCATTCGAATGATGCATCGAATTGAGTGTCCCTGTAACATATAGTCAAACGCCTTGTTAATTTCAGAAAATGGGACCGAGTGAGTGATAAATTTCTCCAATTCTAGCTCCTGCAATGCAACAACCATAAAAATTTATTAAACTATAGTCAGTCGGAGATAAGTGTCTTAACTAATTGAACTATACTCATAGAAATATAAAACTGTAACCTTGTTCAAGTATTGTTCGACGACATTTGGAATGTCGGAACGGGGCTTGTAGTTGCCAAAGAAAGTACCCTTAAGAGTTTTTTCGTTCAAAAGATTCATTGGATGAGTTGCGAACAAATCGTCCTTGTTTGGTACACCAACTAGCACAGCAACACCCCAACCCTAATAATAATCCAATCTATTTTTTTAAGAAATTAAACACATATATGTACTATATATAAATAGGGAAAAGAAATAGAAAAATGTATGAATGGATCAATGGTAGGAAATTTAATTACATCATGAACACATTCAAAAGCTGAGATCATTGCTTGGATGCTTCCAGTGCATTCAACACTCCTATCAACTCCTCCATTAGTCATCTCAACAATCACCTGTTTAATATATGAATCAAAATAATTAACTTCAATCCCTTCATAATGCATTGCTTATACATATATATTAAGCTTTCAAAAACTAATCCCAATTAGAAGAAAAGCAATATTTAATTATGAACTAACCTGCTGGATGGGCTTGTCATAATCCTTTGGATTCACAAACTCATTCACACCAAACTTCTTGGCTGTGTAGTCAAAGAAATATGTCACCAATGGACACTAAAAAACACAAATGAATATGCACATATTCCTAGACATTAATTCGTATTCTAGGGTTGTCTATTTGGTATCTTAATAGTCGAGCAAGTTGCCGAAAAAGGAGTTACTCTGATATTGTCCACTTTGAATATAAACGCTTATGATTTTGCTTTTGGCTCCATCCAAAAGACTTCTGTGTATCAATGATTATGTTGTCTCTTACATATATATCCATGATCTTACCCTTCTTCTAGTCGATGTAAAACTTTGGTGGCATTAAAAGCGGGTTTACCTTCCTCGAATCGACTTGGATTAAGATCAACGCCTATGATCCGCGAGGCCCCGGCAATTCTTGCACCCTCAGCAGCCTAAGAATTAGAATCAGAAGGAGAGAATAATGAAAATGGAGAACCCAAAGAAAGAAAAGAAAGATAGTTATTTGAACTCACAGCAAGGCCTACAGCACCAAGTCCAAAAACAGCAACAGAGGAGCCCTTGGTGGGCTTTGCAACGTTCAAAGTGGCGCCAAGGCCTGTGGATATTCCGCAGCTGAGAACACAGACCTTGTCAAGAGGGGCTGTGGGGTTGATCTTTGCGAGACACCCGACATGGACAACAGTGTATTCGCTAAACGTTGAGGTTCCCACAAAGTGGTAAATTGGGCGTCCGTTTTTGGAGAATCGGCTCTTGCCGTCGTTGATCATCACTCCACGGTCCGTGTTGATTCGGAGAAGCTCGCACATGTTGCTCTCCTCCGACTGACAATGGCGACATTCCCGACATTCCCCAGTGAACACCGGAAGAACGTGGTCTCCCGACTCGAGATCGGTAACTCCCTCCGCCACACTCTCCACAACTCTGTTCATTAACAATGCATCACACTCTATCTATAAATGAATTAAATTTACCTTAACTCATCAATTTAAGCTTTTAGGTTCAAAATGGTATCCATTTTCATTTATTGGGTCTTCTGTAAATTTCCAAGCTCACAAGTAAACTGTTGAGGTCATTGGTGATTTAATCATATTTAAAATAGGTAAGAGAGAGTAGGATTGAATCAAACGTACCCTCCAGCTTCATGCCCAAATATGCGAGGAAATAGAGGTGTTTGGCCCTGAAACAATACAAGAAATTAAAGTAGTCGTTTTGGGGACGACGCATAAGGTCTAAAAAAAAGTACTTGGCTCCTCATCGGTCTTGATTCTGACCACCGATAAATGTTTGACAATTAATAGATAAAGACAAAACAAAAGCTTTGGTTAACAGAAATAATAAACCCATCTAATCTAAATTATCATTTTGTTTACCTTGGCCTCCCAAAAGTAAACATCGGTGTGGCAAAGAGCAGTGAAGAGGATCTTGACACGGACTTCATTAGCCTGTGGTGGTGCCACTTCCACTTCCTCAATCACCAGTGGCTTTCCAGCTTCCCACGCCACAGCAGCTGTAACACAATATTCACAAAAATTAATGGATTTTGTTTTCCTTTCGAGTAAAATAGGTAGAGCTGCGAGATCGAACTCACCCTCTCTTGATTGAAGATATATGTCAATTATCGCTGAGCTATGCTCGCTTTGTAAAAAATTAATGGATTATTAACACAAGATCAATCAAATTAATGGGTTTGATTTTGTTACCTCTGCACTTGATGACTTTACCAGCAGTGCTTGACAATGCCATCACTTCAAATAACGTATGGAGACTTGAGATTTGCTTCTCTTTTTGGATGGATAAACAGGTGTATTGGGATGGGTTATTTATAGAGAAACGAGAGCGAAGAGAGAAGCATTTGGAATATATAATTAGCAAGCAAATGCAAAGGTATTGTTTTTGTGGGCGACAAATACCATTGATGATACCGTATGTGGTTTTGTTTGGCATTTAAAATGAAAGTCAGAAAAATGGCAACTTGGAGGGTGTTGACCTTTGAAAGCTCCCATTTGATTCAATTGTTTTCTAATTAGTCACTGTTCCCTGGTTTCTCTTTTGGTTGTTTTGAAGATGTTGTTTTCCGTGATTCCCTTTGTTGCAAGTGTAAGTTGTAACTCTAAATTTAGCAATTCTAGAACTTAGTGATGGAAATTGATTGAATTAAAATTTTTTGTGAGGTTTTACTCAACCATCTTGGGCTAAGTTGAATAAGATTACTTTAATTGTATTTTTAAATCTTTTTTCAGGGAATTATATTTTAAAGTTGAATTTTGTAAGTTGTTTAACTTTCGAACTTTATTTTTCAACTAAGTACAATCTTTTTTTTTTTCAGAATAACATGTGGAGGTATATACCAATTACCGCTGAGTTATGCTCGCTTTGGCTTCAACTAAGTATAATTAAGTTGTCTTCTTATAATTCTCTTTTCGTATTCAATGTAAGCTTAGATAGGATAGTAATCGTAACAATATGAAATTCTACAATTAAAGTATTTTATATTTCTTTTATTTATTTCCCATGAAAATGGTGAGAACCATCTCGAAAGAGCACGAACCAAATCAACACTTTTTATCCAAAAAGACTTCATACCAATAAAAATGTGTTGCATCTCCATCAATCATTGTCTCAAACAAACTTAAGATATTTTAGTCTCGCTTCAAATGGTTGATCTAGCTTTTATCGTGTCAGGATAATGGAGCCAATACAGGAAACATGTTTCCTATGAATAAAAGGATTCTCAACACTATTGTGAAATCCTACAACGAAGCTTCTTGTAAATATAACTCTTTTGTTAAAGTTTCATTTGTACAAAATATCCAAAAGAGAATTGAGTGGTTGTGGGCAATGTGTAAATAGAAGTATCTTGTGGGTTTAGTGATGATATTTTAATTATGTAATTCTAGCTAGGCATTGTAAGGATACTTAGAAGCAAGATAGTCGTTGTGGGTGATATGTTGAGTGAGATCTTCATCGAATCTTTCCAAACATAGTAGAATTTGCTTTTTCAGAAGACTTGCATAGTCTCAAGATTGAAGCGAACCAGTAAAATCCTTATGGTGTCAAACTTGCATAGACATTAATGCAGGAACAACAATTAGGAATTTAGATAACAAAAATAAGTTCTTTAAGTTGTCAGGGATTGATCCTAGCTGGTCAGACGAATTAGTGACTTGATGAAGTTGCATAAGCAAATAGTTGTATACGAGAAGATGAATCCACTAATTGTTGAGGTAATTAACAAGTGGTCTCAATTCAAGCAGGCATGCTTAAATAGAGGTATCAAGTCAACAGTGAGAAGTTCTTTCTTCAATGTTTGAGAATGAAGAAGGATACTTAATTTGAGTGGGAGCACGTGGTTGTATCTTTTGTGTCTGTGAGACAAGTCTACGTAAATTGCTCAAACTAAGAGGAAAGATAGATGAGAGTAGTTCTTTTTTATTTTGTTTTACAAGTTGTTTGAATTTGTAGGACAAGCTTTGAAGTTTTCAAGATCAGAAAACCGTTTGAGAAAAATACTTTGAGTTATTCCAAGATTATCGGATACTGATGTTGCAATGGAAGAAAATATTTTTGTTTTGTCTCCAAGTGGAAGATTATTGGGATAATGGAGTCAAAATAGAAAACTCATGTCCTACGATGAAAATTATTTTCAACACTACTGCAAATTTCAACAAGAATTAGGATATTACTTCTTATAAGGATTAAGATATTGATACCTATTAATATAGCTCCTTTATTAAAGTTTCGTTAGTACAAAATTCAAAAGAGAATTAAGTCGCCGTGAGCAGTGTGTAAATAGAAGGATATGTACGTATCTTGTTGGTTTAGTGAGGATATTTTGATGGTGTAATTTCAGGTAGCTATTGTTAAGGGTACTTAGAAGCAAGATATTGTCATTGTAGGTGATATTGACACGACCGGCCCCAAATTACCCTATCTAACCTAGGACCTGGCATGTCGACAGTTGATCCCAACTAGCTATGGATCTATTGTCAAACTAGCATGAACTGTTCTTAGAAGCAAGATATTGGGTAAACTCTAGATGCATAGCATAGCAAAGTTGGTCATGCATACACTACAGAAACACATACACGTATGTGTATTGAGAAGTCACCATGGTACAACATCTAGTAGTTTGAAAATAATAGCTTTAATATTTCTCAAACCACGATAAATCATAATCATTATAAATCATCGTCTCATAATTTGATAATTATAAAAATTTTCAATTTTATAGGTCACCATAACTTAACTAAAATAACATCAGAAGTCTGTCAAATCAATTACTAAGGCCATTCAAAACCTTCGAATTTTATCATTCATATAATAAACTAAAAAAACATGACTTAGAAATGTCATGGGTTCAGACGCCACTGTGTAGAACAACCACAAGACCATCGCTGCTTCAAATTGTTGCTCGTCACCTACAAAAGAGGGATTTTGCGAGGAATCGATTTGGTATAATAAAGATAGAGAGAGGGAGAGGGAGGGAGAGGGAGAATGGAAAATTTTCAGGGAGAGGGGGAGAGAAGAAAAAGAAAATGATAATTGCTCGAAAGACAAAAAGGAGAGAGAATAAGATAGTGTGGTTTGAATAATGGTAAAATAAGTAATTTTAAATAAAATGTTGTTGGGAATGAAAAATATTAAAACTTATTTTGTCCCACATCGGAAGCATAACATTTGAGAAGTTGGTTTATAAGCATTGACTGTGTATTAGACTTACAAACTTGGTGTGAGGTAAGTCAAGACTAAGGCCTACACGTGCGCCGTTGTTGCTATTCGACTCGGGCCTAAGCTCGGCTTACTTTTTGGGACAAATTTTACCAATTTCAATCATCTCATTCATTCAATACTTCTCTCCTGTTCTCCAGCTCCACACTTTATTCCATTGTTCTTCATTTTTTCTACTTCTGTTCACTACCTTAAACTAAGCACGAGACTGATTCCACTCTCATTCTAACGACTGCACGTCTGAGTTGGAGATTGTGTTAACCTTGGGGAGCATACCGACAGTAAAACGATTTGTCGAAATTGGAACCACTCAACAAATCCAACTACCGTTGATGGTCACAGAAGTTACTGATTTTCTTTGAGCAGTTGGAGATCAACTATATCCTCAATTGCTGCTCAGCCTGCCACCATTGCCGTTGCAACCACTACCACTGTCGCTGCTACTACTGTCGTCACTACCACTTCCATCACTGCAGTCGTCACTAATCCGCTTACCATTGTCGCTGACACCGTTTCGGTTGTTGCTGCTGATCTCGGGACATATACTACCACTGTCGTAGAAAAAAAATTCGACAAAGACAACAAAACGGTCCGTGGGCATCTTCTCAACCATATGAACGACTCTCTTTTTGGAATTTGATCTCTTCATAGTCCAAAAATCTGCAAAGGTCATTTGGGACACATTAGAGTCTATATATGGTTAGGATGATGCAGGCAGGAGAAAGTACGTCGTCAATAAATGGTTGCGATTTCAAATGTCAAACGACAAACCGATCATGAATCAGGTTCATGAGTATGAGAACCTAGTGGCAAATGTGATGTCTGAAGGCATGAAGATGTGCGAAATTCTTCAGGTCAATGTGTTGCTCTCGAGAAATTTCCTCCTTCCTAGAAAGATTATCGCAACCACTTGAAACATAAGAATGACCTGACTCTGAAAGAACTGATCAATTACGTGTGCATGAGGGAAGCCAACAAGCTGAAGGATAAGCTCTTTTCTCAGTCCCTGTTAAAGCTAACTTAGTTGAATCTTCTAGTGCTTCCAAAGACAGGTTAAAAAATAAAGGGAAGCAAATTGCAAGGGATAGAGCTTAAAAGAACAAAGGTCTCCAACCCAAAAATGCTAGTGGAAGAATTGAAAAATCAAAATTGGTATGCTATATCTGCGGAAAACCCGAGAACAAATCCTATCAGTGCACCCAGAGGAAAGATTGAAAGATCAAATAACTACTCTACAAGCCAACTTTGCAGAGACGGATGGCATAATTGCCGCTGTGGTTGTGGAAGCAAATCTGGTAAAGAACAAATTCGATTGGATTCTTGACATAGGAGTGTCCAGACATTTCTGCTCGACCCATGACCTCTTCCACGACTTTCAAGACTCTATTGATGGCGATTATGTGATTATGGGGAACTCTGCTACAGCTGAAGTACTTGGGAAAGGGAAGGTTCTCTTGAAACTCACATGTGGCAAAACTTTATCATTAAGTAATGTGTTGTATGTTCCTTCCCTGCGTAGGAATTAATGGCAGGAGGTCTGTTGAACCGAACCGGACTTGGAATTGTGTTTGAGGCCGATAAGGTTATCATCATACAGATGGTTTGTTTGTTATGAATACTACTTCTTTAAATGAAATTAATTCTAGTTATGCTTACATCGTTGAGTCTCTTGATGTGTGACATGGTAAATTAGGACATATGAATATTGCATCGATTAAAAGGCTTAGAACTTTAAATTTAATTAATCCTTTTGATTTTCTTGAAACTTGAAAATTTCCTATCTGTGTAGAAGCAAAGTTTGCTAAAAAATTTTTTTTTAAACCTGTCATTGCAAGGTGTACTGAACTCCTAGAATTAATTCATTCTCATGTAGCTGATTTCAAAAATACAACTAGCAGGGGTGGAAAAAATGACTATTTTTCTTTTGTTGATGATTTTTCTAGATATACGAAAATATATCTCCTAAAATCTAAAGATGAAGCTAGTAGTATGTTTTTGAAATTCAAAGCTGAAATACAAAGTCAATTAGGTAGAAAGATAAAAATGTTAATATCATATAGGGATGGTGAATATAATGATAATTCGCTTAGGGATTTTTGTGAATCAAGTGAGATTATACACAAATTTACTACTCCATATTCACCTCAATAGAACGGAATAGCTGAACGGAAGAATAGAACTTTAAAAGAGATGATAAATGTCATGCTATTAAGTTCTGGTTTATCTGATGATATGTGGGGGGAAGCTGCACTTTCTGCCTATTTTATATTCTTAATAGGTCCCTCACAAAAAGTTGGATAAGACACCATACAAGCTCTGAAAAGGGCGTTTGTCAAACCTGAGCTACTTGAAAGTGTGGGGGTGCTTGGCAAAGGTGGCATATCTAGCATTCAAAAAAGCAACGATTGGATCTAAAACTTTTAATTGTGTTTTCATTGGTTATACTCAAAATAGTTTTGCATATAGGTTCATGATCTTTAATGATAAATCAATATGTGAATATAGAGATGCTATATTTTTTGAAAATATCTTCCCTATGATTAGAACTGGTGGTGAATCTAGTGGTATTTCAAAAACTGCATGCATGTCATTGCGCTCCACTTTTGTTGATATGATAGACCCTGAACCTAGATCTAATGATGCAATAGATTCTAAACCTAGGAGAAGTAAAAGGCAAAAGGTTAGTAGAAGCTTCGGACCTGATTTCCTAATTAACTTCCTATCTGGTAGAAAACTTTGACAAGATAGATCATCAGTTCGCTTGCATGTATTTGATAGACGAAGATCGTAAAACCTAGTAAGAAGCTATAAATATTTTAGATTCTAGCCTATGTAAAGAAGCTATTAAAAGTGAGCTAGACTCCATAGTTATGAATCAAACCTGGGAATTGGTAGATCTACCTATAGGAAATAAACCTATTAGGTGTAAATGGATCTTTAAAAGAAAAATGAGACCATATGGTACGATAGAAAAATACAAAGATAGACTAGTGGTTGTAGGTCACACATAAAAGTATTGCATTGATTACTTCGATACGTACTCTCCTGTAACCAAGATTGCCACAATTAGATCTTTGATAGCTTTGACAACTATTCAAGGCTTCGTAATACACTAGATGGATGTAAAAACAACTTTCCTTAATGGTGATTTAAAAATAGGAGATCTATATGACACAAACTAAAGGTTTTCTAGCTACTAGTCAATAAAATAAAGTATGCAAGCTTAAAAAATCTCTCTATGGCCTAAAACAAGCTCCTAAACAATTGAACGAAAAATTTAATGGCACTTCGGTAAACAATGGTTATAAAGTAAATTGTTATGATACATGTGTTTACTCAAAGTTGTTTGGAGCTGATTGTGTGATAATATGCTTGTATGTTGATGACATGCTCATTTTTTGTTCAAACTTAGATATCATTAATGAGACCAAATTACTCATTTCTTCGCATTTTGAAATGAAAGATTTAGGAGAGGCTGATGTAATACTTGGTTCCTTATGTCAATCACACTACATTGAGAGAATACTGAAAAAATTTGATCACTTTGATAATTTACCTGTAAGCACATCTTATGATGCTACTGAATCAGGGCGATAGTGTATCTCAATCCGAATATGCAAAGATCATAGGTAGTGTCATGTTTTTAATGAACTACACTAGACCTAATATGTATATGCGGTAAGTAGACTGAGTAGATACACTCATAACCCTAGTAAAGATCACTTGACTCCTCTACATTGGTTTTTAAGGTATCTTAGGGGTACAATGGATTATTGTTTGCATTTTAACAAATTTTATATTGTGCTAGAAGAATATTATGATGTAAACTAGGTTACAGATAATGATGAAGTGAGCTCCACTTGCGGGTATGTGTTTACTTTTGACGGTGGAGCTATCTCATGGAAATCGGCAAAACAAACCTGCATTGCTCGCTCTACCATGGAATCTGAGTTCATAGCACTTGAACTGGCAAGTCAAGAGGCTAAATGGCTGAGAATCCTTCTAAGAGACGTGCCATTGTGGGGGAAATCTGTACGTGCATCCATACACTGTGACTCACAAGCTGCCATAGAAATTACCAAAAATAGTGTGTACAATGGCAAAAGACGCCACATACGTTTAAGACATGAAGCTGTGAAACAGTTGCTGAAAGATGGAATTATGTCTTTGGAGTATGTGAGGTCTGAGAGAAACTTAGCAGATCCTTTCACCAAAGGCCAAACAATGAGAGTAATTCTGGAGTCCTCATATGATTTATGGGACCCAAACCATGATGCTCAATTCATAACCATTCTTTTGGGTGGTCCATGTACGGACTTGATGGATGTAGTGAAGCATATGTGAATCCATAGCCCTAATTTGGGTGATCCATGAATGGACTTGATGGATACGGTGAAACATGTGAATCCATAGCCCTTTTTGGATGGTCCATGCGTGGACTTGATGGATAATATTCAAAGTCTTCATAGCTCAGTTTTTTAGTGGTTTATCTATAATAGACTTGATGAAGCAACAACGTGACTTTGAAGTAGAGGTCACCTTCTATGAAAGAGTTGTAAAGCCTCTTTTTAGAGCGTTCACGATGACCCAAGGTGTATGTGCATGGCCACTAAAAGCACTTGACAACTATCGCGGAATCAAAATCGAGGATTCAAACGTGTTGTGGGGGTCTCACCTATAAATACTGGAACTGCAAAAGGTATCTCACTTTCATTATTTAGGTTGTTGCCTTACTTCATTATACATTAATTCAAATCGAATGATATTAATGCTTAAGTTTCTTATCCTTTGCTCAAAAATTCAATCATTCTTCTTACTTCTTTTTACTATGTTGTCATTCGTGGGGATTGTTGGAAATGACAAATATTAAAACTTGTTTTGTCCCACATCGGAAGCATAACATTTGAGAATTTGGATTATAAGCATTGACTGTGTATTAGGCTTATAAACTTGGTGTGAGGTAAGCCAAGGCCAAGGTTAACACGCGCGTCGCCGCTAATCGGCTCGGGCCTAGCTTACTTTTTGGGACAAATTTCTTCTACAAATTCAAATCCACGTGGCGAACTCAAAAGAATTGAAGGATACGTTGATGGATGAAAGTTGGTTATTTTTTGGTCACTTCATCCGTATAAATAAGGGTCATTCCCTAACAATTTCAATCATCCGATTCATTCAATACTTCTCTCCTGTTCTACACCTCCACTCTTCATTCTATTATTCTTCATGATTTCACTCCCACTCCGACGAGTGCAAGTTTGAGTTTGAGGTTGTGTTAACCTTGGGGAGCATACCGACAGTAAAACAATTTTAGCACCAAGGTCGTGCCGATTTTGTTTTCAAGATAGTGGTTCCACCCACCGCACAACAAATTTAGCTCATGATTCCAATTTTGTCATTTATTGGAAAATAAATGTGACACAAAATGATAGAAAATGGTCATTCCTGCTGATTTTCCTCCCTTCATCATTGGGAGAAAAGAGAAAAATAACGAAAATAACGAAAGCGAAAGGAAAAAACGAGAAGAGAGAAAGAAAAGAATAATATGAGAAAGTGAGAAAGAGAAGAACAAAATAGGCAATAAGAATGGAAAGTTGTCAAAAAAAAAAAAAGTTATCACTGCTACAAATTCGAGTTTCAATCAGTTAAAAATGTCATTCACGGAATTCGTGACAGTTACATGGCTGTATAATGAAGTAATTTGCTGTCCTACGTCGAAATGAAGGCTCTATGCATAAGGAGGCCACCCCAGCTTGAATTGAAATGTAGAGCGAGTTTGTGAGTGAAATCAATTTCACTGATTTGTTGAGTTGAGTGAATTTCACCATTTTTCTAATTTTTATTTAATCCCCCATTTGGAAATTAATTTTGTAATCGAATTTAATATTTTGGGTATACCGGAGATTTGGTGAATGTTTCACTGTGCTTTTCTGTAATCCCGTCTTGAACACTAGTGAAAAATATTATTGTCACTTCGCTCGTGGATGTAGGTATAATTCAAACCACGTAAATTTTTCTCTCCTTTAATTTTGTAATCGCAATAATTAGATCTAGCTTATTATTTTGTTGCCATTTGCAATTTTCAAACATTAAAATTATAACAGTTTAGAATCTCTTTCATCAAATGGGGTTTACCGAATATGACAACATTGAAAAATTTACTCAACTTTGAGGACTAGACAAAATATGTCCACAAGATCTTAACCTGTGATATTATATATATATATATATAATTTTCTATTTTTGGAAATTATGCTTTCTTTCCCTATAATTTGTTCAAAATTGATTTAGAAAAGGATAGCAAAATAAAGATAGACATATAAGCTGAAGTGATGTTATAATTTATTGAGAAGAAATGCATAACTGTAACGATCAAACTGCACATCAACGCATCTTAATTTCCCCTTCAACAAACGAAAAACCGAAGATTCAGAGTTCTCACACAACACTTAAAAACATCACAATAACAATGATTCTTCCCTCAACAAATCAATCTCCCATCTTTATAATGCAGCGAATGGACTCTCCCTTCAGCATGTATTCAAACGCCTTGTTGATCTCAGAAAACGGCACAGAATGTGTAATGAACTTCTCCAGTTCCAGCTCCTACAACAATCCCTCGCTAATCAGAATCATCTCAAAATTATTAAAACCTCTTCAATTGGGTTTTGGGTTTTGGGTTTTGCGGATCTTACCTTGTTCAAGTACTTCTCGACCACCCCGGGAATGTCGGTTCGGGGCTTGTAGTTTCCAAAGAAGGTGCCCTTGAGAGTCCTCTCGTTCAGGAGATTCATCGGATGAGTTTTGAATGCGTCGTCCTTGTTTGGCACTCCGACGAGCACAGCAACACCCCACCCCTGTTGTCAAACACAACAATTTTGTTTTATGGATATTGTCGTGTAAAGCGTAAGAGAGAGAATGAGAATGAAATTGATGAGGAATTACATCATGGACACATTCGAATGCAGAGATCATGGCCTGGATACTTCCAGTGCATTCGACGCTCCGATCGACTCCTCCATCGGTCATCTCTGCAATCACCTCTTGAACAGGTTTGTTATGATCCTTTGGATTCACGAACTCGTTGCAGCCAAATTTCTTTGCTGCAATTATCAAAAAAACAAACAAAAACAAGCCCAAAAATTATATGATAAATCCCATCAAAACTAAGAAAGTTTTTTATTATATATATAAGAAGTTCAAGTTATGTTATATTATGTGATTGTACCTTCTTCAAATCGACTTGGGTTGAGATCAACACCAATGATTCTGGATGCCCCGGAAATTCTTGCTCCTTCAGCAGCCTTAAATTAAAAACAAAGTTAGAGAACGATATTTAATATGATCAAAATCTAAATCAGAATCTACGAGTTTAGAAGTTTAATTGATTTAGTAAGCTTACAGCGAGGCCAACAGCTCCAAGTCCAAAGATTGCAACAGATGAACCCTTCTTTGGCTTTGCCACATTCAAAGTAGCTCCAAGGCCTTCATCACACAAAACCAAATTGATTCAGCTCACGAGTCTATAATATGTAATCTAATCATTTATTCATATTCTCAACTCTCCAATTTCCAATCTCCTTACCTGTGGATATTCCGCAGCTAAGAACACAAACTTTGTCTAGAGGGGCAGCCGGGTTGATCTTGGCTAGACATCCAACATGGACGACAGTGTATTCGCTAAACGTGGAGGTTCCTACAAAGTGATGGATGGGCTGTCCGTTAATAGAGAACCTCGTCTTGCCGTCATTGATCATGACACCGCGGTCGGTGTTGATCCGGAGAAGATCACACATATTGCTCTCCTCCGACTGACAATGGCGACAATCCCCGCATTCCCCAGTGAACACCGGAAGAACATGGTCTCCTGGCTGCAGATCCGTCACTCCCTCCCCCACACTCTCCACAACTCTGTTTGTTAACAACACACCAAATTAAAACACAACCAACCAATATAACAGAGATTCCATTTGCAGTACAACTTGAAAATGAGTGGATAAGATTAAACATACCCTCCAGCTTCATGCCCAAATATGCGAGGAAACAGAGGCGTTTGGCCCTGAAAAGTGAAACAGTACAAAAATTAAAGAAGCCATTTTGAGAAAGACCACCCATAAAGTCCAAACTACAAGCAAGCAGATATATATATAGGAAAACATAACATGTTTGCAATGCAAATTAGCATTTTGTTTACCTTGGCCTCCCAAAAGTAAACATCAGTGTGGCAGAGAGCAGTGAAGAGGATCTTGACACGGACTTCATTAGCCTGTGGTGGTGCCACTTCCACTTCCTCAATCACAAGTGGCTTTCCAGCTTCCCACGCTACAGCAGCTGTAACACACACAAAAGTAAGAAAACATCATAAGCAACAGATGAAAGATGAGCCCATAAATTTTGAGTGTTTTTCAGTCTAAATAGAATCAAGGAGAACATAAAAGACTCAATTTTATACAATTGGATGTATAAGACAGAAATCAAAAACTATATTTCTCATTCAGAACTTAAATCAAACAGATTCCAGACATGTCAAGGAACAGCTACCTAAATCCTAATGCATTAGTTTAGTTATATTTTGCAATCCAAGGACTGATCAAAAGGGATCCAAAGAGAGTTAGAGAAGTTCAATCTCCACAAACAGAAACCAAAAGATAAAAAACTGGGTAATCAAAACCCAGAAGAATCCGAAAGAGTGCGAGTGAGAGTAATACCTTTGCATTTGATGACTTGACCAGCAGTCGACATGGGTTAATCAGAAGATCAAAGATTTGTAAGAATTTAGATGAATATGAAAATTGATTGGATTTTTGTGTTGACGATCGATGATGGGATTTGTTTGAAATGGAGAACTTTATAGAGGAACAGGACAGAGAAAACCGAGTGGCGGTTTTGGTTTCGGCGCTGCGGATATTGGTGTCCAGTTTTGGCGATGGCTCGGATTGGTGGTGGCGACAAGTGGTAATTTTTAAAACTACGGTCAAACGCTAATGATACAACGGCGGATGGCGCACACGGGTCCACCGCTAAATATACCGTTACACTGCAGCAGTTTTGGCTTTTTGGGTAAAAAGATCCGAATATATTTGGTAGTTTACATAATAAAATATTGTTTAAAAAGAATTTAAAATTTTAAAAGAAAATACTTAGTTTCTTGCGAGTAACAGTAAGAAGCAAGATCCAACGAATGGAAATTATAATAAATGGGGAGGGGTTCAAGCACAGGACCTCTCGCTCTGATACCATCTTGAAAATGAATAAATCACCAGTTAACCCAAAAGCTTAAACTGATGGGTTTGATAAATTTAATTCATTTATATGGATTCTAACACTTTTTTACCCTCATATATCATTCATCTATATCTATCATCTGATTAGTGATAAACTATATTATTAGATAGATTGAGACATTTGTTGGATTATATTACTAGATAAACTATCATTAATAGACATTTGTCTTTGTGATCATTGATGGTCTATCAAATATATAGTCTAACATATGTCTATCACTGATATAGTCTATCATACGTCTAAATTACTACTAATATAGTCTATATCAATTTAGACGTCTATCACTAATAAATTCATAGATGTTCAACATCATTTTAATCTTTTCGGTGAGTGAATTTGGGCTAACATTTTCTTTTGTTATATTTGCAAATCTAAAACTTTATTATCATATTTGAATTAGTCAAGCTTGTTTTTCTTTATATGTTAGCATACAAAAATAGTTTTCAAAGTTTTGCCTAGGAATGGCAACGGGGTGAGGTGGGGTTCGGGGGTCATCCCCATCCTCGCCCCCAGCCCCGAAATTTTGAGAGTAGAGATGGGGCGGGAATTCCTACACAGAGAACCCATCTCCGATATATATAATTTAAAAAAAAGATTTATAAATATTTTAATTCTTTAAAAAAACATAAACTTTTTTTTTATGGAATAGTGTAAATTTTAATTAATTAAGATTACAATGTATTAAAAAGTTAAAAATATATTTATAAAAATTAATATAATATTTAATATAAAAATATAAAAATTAATAAAATATTAAACAGATCGGAGACGGTGACGGAGACAAGGTGGGGGAATCTGGGGACCCCGATTAGGATCCCTGGTTTGACCCATCCTCGGTCAATTAGGTATGGAAAAACTTCTAGTAATCTATATTTGATATATTATTTTTGGATAAAATGTTTTGTTAAGGTTTATAATTCATTTGATAACGTTCATGTTTCTTATTTCTTATTTCCAGTTTTATTGATAAATTTAAACATTTGACAACTCTTTATATTTATTGTTTTTTATTTTTCAGAAAATGTTTCCAAAATTTTATAGAAATTTTTGAAACAATAAGTTTCTTATTTTTTTGGTTCACACTTTCCAATTTTTACTAAAACATAAATAAAAATATTATGTTTATTATTTTTTACTTATAAAAGAATAATAAATAGTTACCAAATGTAATAGATTTTTTTTTTTGTGAAATAAATGTAATAGATTTTCTTTGTCTAAAAAAGGGATCTGGCCAAGATTGGTAATCCCGGAAAAGCCACCTATTGAGGAGAATTTTAAAGATCTCACAGATTTAACCTCATGTTGATATGTTATCATACCAACAAATTCAAACGAGCATCCAATCAATATTAGTAAGCCAAAAGAATCACAATTTTGATGGTACAGTGTCAAGGATCCCACTTTGAAAAAATAATAAACTCAACAAATGTTTATAGGGAAATCATTATGAATGGTTACGTAGTTAAGAAAAATGGCCAAAATTGTTCTAAATTGCATGTCATCGCTAAATTTGATTTCCTAAAATTTTGGGAAGTATATAATTTCATATTTATCCCTCCATACATTTCATGCCTATATTGTCCTTGCAGTTTTTCTCCAATTTTACCTATCCACGTTTTCAACCATTGGACAGATCACATGTTCAAACGAATCTCTAAAATCTCCCCCAAACTAGCAAGATGTTATGACTTAATATTGAAACCACCCTAACTACAAAATCTACATAATTCATAAAATCTTTCCACACAATTGAAACTACCAAATCTATCTATATCATTTAAACTATTTTAAATTATTATTAATTTCTTTTTAACAAACATAACTAAATTGGTTTGAAGATTCCACTACAATCAGCAACTTAAATATGATGTCTCTTTAATATTCTTACACAAGGTGTCATTAATCCCCACCCATTTTCTTGTTACATTTTTTCAGTGATTAAACCAATCAACACGGAAACACTATGCGATCATTCTTAGGCATGTTTTTACATGATGGAAGTTTTACAATTGTAAAATTTGTATAAGTAACAAAATGTTGGCAACATATTACAAGTTATAGACTAAGAAAACTATCACTACTATAAATTCGGTCTACCGTGACGTTTTTTGGCGTCACAAAAAGCTTTCTTGACGTTTTTAACGTCGTCACGTATACGCCCATCACGAAAGGTATACGAGACGTTTAAAAAACGTCACAAAAATTAGCACATGTGACGGTTTATTAGCGTCATGAAAGACATAGACTTCCACGACGTTCATAAACCGTCATGAAAAATGATTTCGTGACGGTTATAGAATGTCACGGAAAGACCTTGAACAGGGGAGGAGAGGTCATGTGACATCCTTTCGTGACGGTGTTTAAACATCACGAAAAGTGTATTTCGTGACGGTGTTTAAAAGTCATGAAAAGTTTATTCCGTGACGTTTGATAATCGTCCTAAAAAATATTTTGGTGACGATTTAAAAACGTCACTAATGATTTTATTTTGTGACGATAAAAAGAGGGTCACTGAATATGTATTTAATTTTGATTGCAGATGTCGCGAAATATAAATATTATATTGTCAACTTGTCGATCGAATACGCAAATATATTAATTTACTATAACAAAGTTGAAATATATTAAACATCAACAAGGAAGCTAATATATTAATTTAGAACATACTAGTATTCTCAAATACAAATTACATAATTACATAATTAAACATGTTCCTTACACACAACCCCAACAACGATGCTCAGCCACCAATTAGTTGCATTCCTAATTGTCGACATCTTTGGGGTAAGAAAGACCTAATGAAAAAACAATACCCAAGTTAGATAAATATCAACTTACTCGATAATATAAATAAAACAACCAACAAACGACCAAACAGAAGAAGCGCGATTCAAATAAACCACATGCCTACACTTTTTCTACATCCTTAAATTACATAACATAAAATATCAGTACAATCATCCTGTAAGGAAAGTATCAATATGATATGATAACCAACAAAAAGATCAAACAAAGTTCCAACATAACAGAAGAGGTTACAATAACAAAAATAACCGAACACTTCTTCTATATCCTTCAGCAGCATAGCACAAAATGAACTTAAACAATATAACACAAACTAGCTAGTATAGCAAAGAGATTGTAAACGGACATTCCTCGTCTATAATCAATATTTAGTATTCCTTGTAAACGTACTCAATAATATAACTATAGTCCCAGCATATAACAGGTTCGATTCATAAGTATTTAATATTCAAATGCTATAACATGAATGATGACGAAAAGCTTAAAATAGCTTACCTTTGTTATGATGGAACTTTGAATGAAACAGGCACAACATGGTTCAGCTCACCCGGACACAGTTCGACAAGCATTTCAAACCCTTACAACTTCTTCTTCTAGTGCGAAGATTGCTCCTGTCATATAAACCAATAATAAGCAACTTAGGAAAATGAGCTTTCTCAAAAAACTTGACATAAACAATAACATCCAAACAAAGTTTTAAATAATACAGTTCCGCATATGCATTGAGCTACGAAGCCAACCAAAAATTTCTTGTCTGACAAAATAGATACGTCAAAGTAGTGTGTCTGACGAAGTAGTCCTACCACAAAATTTGAATTTTCAGATTACTCGAATGGTTATAAGTACTACACCTTCAAATGAATAAACAGTGATATAGTTAACAACTCACAACAGTCTTCTCTATACACAACTCAATAAAGATTTACTACTCATTCATCAAACATAACTCAAACAAAAAAACATGGGTACTTATAAACAACAACATTATTTTACATAACACAATAGACAATAAAGATTCAATTCTAATTAATCAAACATAACTCAAACAAAAAAAATGTCAAAATTTTAGCATGACCTTTGCTAAAATATCATAAAACCGCACATGCTAACTCATCAACCTCATGAGTATTACACCGAATTTGTAGTTGCAACCCATGTATTCTCCTCATATAATGCCAATTGTTGAATGAGATATTCTCTGTGCAAAGCAAAAGACTCTCTCTCGTAGACAAGTCTCTTACATACAGCTGAACATAAACATAATAAGGCATCAAAAGATAAAACTAAGTATCAAAATTAATAGAAATAGGAAAACAATTTTCCAACAACAAACAGAAAGTCCATTCATTTGCTACAAGTACAGCTACTCTATTGGTTGTTACTTTTGCAAGAGTCAACTCTCCGTCAAGTGTTTTCCTTTCTTCTCGGAGGAGAGAAATAAATCTCAACTATTTTGGTAATGCTCCAAGAATTCACTACTACAATTAGGGCATGGTATTTGTTTGCGGGTAGAGTAGAGATTAAAATATTGGATCTTCGATCAAAGAGATGTTATCCAACAATATTATGATAAATAACCTACAAGCCCTACTGTTGACAGAAGTACCAAAACCAAGTTCATTTCAAAGGAAATCAGTGATGAGTACCCTCCTTTAAACCCATGAAAATGTTGATTGCCACGTAAGCCATGAACATGGTGACCAAGTTTATTTCAACTAAATCCAATTAAATGTACCAATTAGCCAGACTT